TTACATACAATCACGCACAATCACGTACAATCGATTGCAATCGAACAATCGGGCATGCAGCGATCTGCAAAATTTGATCAAAAGTCACATCAATTTGCAAACAGCGATAATTAAAATAATTTCTGGCTTGATTTTTCATCAGTCTGAAAATTTTATTTTACTTAAATTGTATTTGTCGTTATAAATTAAAACCAATATCGCCCGACAAGAAGGAAGGTTAAATCAACGGGAAAATTTGTCATTGCTGCTAAACCAATCAATTAAGCTAAAAATTATTTTATTAATTAATGTGATGGTATTTCATATTGTAATGCATAAATTACAGTCAGAAACTCCTCTAAATACTGTACAACCACTGTATGCATGGTCATGCTAATCAATTTATATTTCTGTATTTATACAGTTTGTGGAATCGGCTATATGATTTAGTCGACTAAATCGACTAAACATAGTAATTTACATATGAATTTTTTAGTCGACTAAATCGATTCCTATCCTCCTCTAAACACAATACCTCTGTATTTCATACAGTATTGTGATGAACAAATTACAGTCATACTTGCTAACAAATTTATATTTCTGTATTTCATACAGTATTGTGATGAACAAATTACCCCCTAAATGCAAGTCATCACTTGGCCAACATACAGTAAGGGTAATTGATCTAAATGTGTATGAGTGCAGGTTTTCAAATGTAATAAAGACAAAGATTGACCCTGTAATAATAAAAGAAAGCGAGCTAGTGTAGAGTCGAGAGACCTTTATTAAGTAAAAATTGAAAATTTATCTCTCAGTTGAGAAGTTTCGACCTTTCTATAACTATTAGAGATAATACTTTTTTTAATCTAAATTTGACATGTAATAATTAAACAATTAGGTGTGGCGTAGAAATAATTGCTAGTTATTGTTTGTTTTAATCGCACTGATATTGCATAATCCAAATTTTTATAATGCATAAAAATGCATGAGTCTAGACACTTTTTTAGGCACAACTAATATAAGTACTTATAAATTTTACTTCTCTAAATGCAATACCAATGCATATTTAATTTAGGGATAATAAATTTATAACCATGATTACTGTAACCGCATCCCATAAAACCAATCAAATTTCAAAATCAGGTGTAATGCAAAATTAAAACAAAAATTGCCTTTTTAAAAAAAATCAAATTTTGACTGTCACTATGAAACCATCTTTTACGTTCTAACAAAAAAAAAATTCCTTGCCCTTCCCAACTCTAACTTTCTGATCCTAACCTTAATCGCCAGGTTTTTATTTTTATGTTTTGATAGTCACGTTACATGATCTTAGTTATGCTTATAAAAAAAATAATTAATCTATTTAATTATACATGGTTTCGCTGCAGTACATTTAGCTGCATATTATGAATTAGTGAAGTAATTGTCAATGGAATGATCAATATAATGTATAAAGTACCAATTATATAAATTCTATTAAATTGAAAATTAATGTAATATCTAAGTGCAACGTTACAAAGCCAAAATCAAAAAATATATAAACTGTTAAGATCTTTGCAAGATTAAATTTGAACTTGCAAAAAATTTAACAATGGGTAGACAAACTATTAACATATTTTTGATCATTACTTTTTTATATCTGTTGCTATCGACTATTACTGTTGATGCCAATGAATCTTGTTCTACCTCTACACAAACTGAAACGGTAACAGAAACAGCAACAGAATGTATAGGAACACCTACTCCTACACTTAATTGTCCCCAAAATGATAACCAGAAGCGCCATGAACAGAGAAGTCATCATAATAATCGTCAAAAGCATAAACAACATAAAAATAAACCTACTTGTGCTCTTAAAGAAACTGAATGCGAACCTACAACCGTTATTTGTACCCTTACAGAAACTAAATGCCCGACTATTACATAACGAACTCCTATTGGTGGACCAAGTACAGTTGAAAATATTACTTCATGTTGTGAAGAAAGTCATTCTGGTTTTAATGCATGACATTTGATCCTCGAATCCAGTCGGCATATGTTTTTAATTTTTAGCAAACGAATAGAAGTGAAATTATAAACCTATATTTGTTAGATATATTTTCAAATAACTATTGATTAAAAAAATTGGGTTATGTGAATTTAAAACTAATATCGATTAATGTATACATTATACATCAAATTCAATACAAGTTTAATAAAGTATTTTTCTTTTGCTTTACAAATTCGAAAAAATTGTTAATATATGAATAACTGAGAAAATTAAAGATACTATAATAGATTATTCAAAACACTTATAATCGCTATCTAGCTGTTTTACAAAACCAGTAAGTACAAAAATCCAAACTTTAAATGAATACATTTAAATTAAAGTTGAAGTTAATGAAAAATTGAATGTTCATTCGGATAAACATTACCATCAACCCGACCAGCTAATCAATGACACAAGAATAATAGTTGTACTATAATAAGAAAAATTACCAAGAAATAGTCTGGTTGTAAACAATATAAAAAGTTCACGTAACAATGTTTATTAATATAAATAAACAATCCAAACTTCCGTTATTTAGCACTACTTAATTTTGTTGGTTTGTTTTTTCCTTATATGGCTTGTAGTACATCGATATTTTTGGTTGTTCTTGT